ACGACAGATTGGCAGGCGGGTTTCAGGGTGGGGGGGCCTGGGGGGGGCAGGAGGGAGGGGGGTTGGTACTTTCTTTTATTAGCCCAAAGAAGGCCGGCAAATTATTTGAGCGTTTACACCAAGGGTGTGCCCCTTTAAGGCTTGTGGACTCCAACTCCCAGAATGCTGGCTGGGGAATTCTGGGAGTTGAAGTCTTCTGGTCTTAAAAAGTTGGATGCCCCTGGTTTTACTCTTTGCCATTGTTGGCCCCTCCCTTGAAGCAGGCCGTTGCAACAGAGCTGAGCCTGGATGGGCTTCGGAGTCACCTCGCCTGCCCTTTGAGTGGTGGCCTTGGGAGCCAAGCCAGGGCCCTCCCAGGCATGCTACTGGGGGGGGGCTGGATTGGGGCCTGATTTGCAAGGGGGAGGGTGTGTGTGTGGGATGGGGGGGTGTTTGATATTTGCACCTGGCTATTCCAGGCCAAGGAACACAGCTGACCTCAGATACCCTCCAGGGACAAACATGTTCAGCCACCATTCATGGCTTATTGCGCAAGCCCTGTTTTGTGCAGGATCTCAACTCCATACTGCAAGCAAAGAGGGATGATTGAATGGGCCCCAAACCCCCCCACCCCTAAAACCATCTTGGGGGAAAGACTTAGGGCGGGCCCAACCTAGGATGAGCTCCCAAGACATCCTGAATCCTGCTTGAAGGCTGACCAGGTTTGCTAAACCATAGTTGAGCTGAAGGGGGGGGGGCAAGAACTGGATCAGAGAATTTGCCTGGTTCAAAGCCGACTTCTGGGGCCCCTCCATCCCTACCTCGTAGCCCCCCCAGCGATCATGGCTGATTCCCCCCTCCCCAAACCAAGAGGATTGAATCTGGTTATTAGGATGGGAGGCCACAAGGAGATCCCAAGGGTATAGAATCTCCCGGGAAAAGCCCCTCTGTGGGTGAAAGGAAGAGCTGAAGTATGGTTGCCATGGTGATGGTGGGGATGCATCCAGGCATCTTCCCTTTAGCCAAGAGGAGGGGAGGAGAGGGGAGGGATGGGGAGGATTAAGAAGAGGAGAGGAGAGATAATAAAAGAATAGACTTAAGAAAATAGAGGAGAGGAGAATTACGAGAGAAGAATAGAAATGAGAATATAAAATGAGAGGAGAATTAAGAGAGAATAGAATAAAACAAGAAGAAAGAAGAGATGGAAGAATAGAATTAAGAAAAAGAAAAAGAAGAAGAATAGAACTGAGAAGATAAGAGAAGACAAGAGAAATAGAGTGGAATTAAGAAAGATAATAGAAGAATAGAATTAAGAAGAAAATAAGAGGAGAGGAGAATTAAGGGAGAAAAATAGAAATAATATAAAACAAGAAGAGAATTAAGAAGAGATAATAGAATAATAAGAAGAGATAAAAGAATAGAATTAAGATGAAAATAAAGGAGGAGAGAAAAGAGAAGAACAGAATTGAGAAGATACTAAGAGGATTAAGAGAAATAGAGTAGAATTAAGAAAGATAATAAAAGAATTAAGAAAATAGAATTGAGAAGATAATAAAATTTAGAATAGAATAATAATGAAATAGAATGGAATGGAATAGAATAAAATAAGGAATAAAAATTTAGAATAGAATGGAACAAGGAATAAGAATTAAGACTAGAATAGAATAGAATGGAATAAGGAATAAGAATTAAGACTAGAATAGAATAGAATAGAATAAGGAAAAAAGAATAAAAAAATAAATAAATTGGAATAGAACGGAATACTGTACAATGTGACAGAATGCTTTATTTGGCCAAGTGTGATTAGACACACAAGGAATTTGTCTCTGGTGTAGAAACTCGCAGTGTACTTGCAAAACAACAGAGAAAAACAGTGACACTGAAAGCCAGCAACCAGTAGAAAGGGGGAACCCAGAGGTCATAAAAGAATAAATAATATCAACAGCTGTGTTTTTATGGTCTGTTTTTCATTGCAGAGGGGCGGGGGCAGGGGGAGTTGCTGATTCCTTGGGGGGGGTCTCTCCTCCCTCCCTCTCCCTCTCCCCCCCCCACTCACCTCCTGTCGCAGTCGCAGTGGCTGATGGTGTGCCAGCGCAGGTTACGGTGGCCGTACTTGTAGGTGAAGGGATGGATGAGGTGCTGGCAATGGTCGTGTTCCCGGCAACACCTGTCCGTCTCCTGGTGTTCTCCTGCAATGGGGGGGGGGGAGTGCTTAGATGGGGTGGGGAGCAGCCCCCAGACCCTTCCTCCTCCTGGCCACAATGCCCCTCCCCCAGGCAGCTCCGTTGCTGGCGATAAAAACACGTATTGATCAAAATGTACAATGCAAAAACACAAAAGAAAAACGAGGAGAATAATAGGAAAACAGGAGAAGGAGGAGAAGAGGAAAGAATGAAGGATAAAAGGGAAAAGCAAAGAAGTGACTTCCGGCTCTTTTTGGCCCAAGAAGAATAAAATAATAATGGGGCAACCTCAACCTTTTACTTCCGCACAATATATACGTGGAGTCCTCCGCTTATGGCAGGTCACTTAACATCCGAAGTTACAATGGCTCCGAAAAACGTCCATTATTCACACTTAATGACCATCGTAGCATTCCCCACGGTCCTGGGTATTTACCTTCGAAGGCTTGGCAACCGACTCGTATTTACGATGGTTGCAGCGACCGGGGGTGGGGGGTGGGGGGGTGGGGGGGGAGGAGTCACGTGATCCCCGTTTGCAACCTTTTGACAAACAAGTCAAGGAAGGAAGCCAGATTCACTTAACAACAATTAGGTTACTTAACAAGCTGTAAGGATTCGCTTAACAACGGTGGCAAGAAAGATCATGAAAAGGGGCAAAATTTACTTAGCAAATGTCTCCCTTAGCAGCATCCGTTTCAGACTCCACTGTGGGCATAAGTCGAGGACTCCGGGTCCTAGCCGTTTATGTAATAACCAAACCTACCTAAGCAGCAAAACCCAAAATCAACGTTTAATTTTTTTTTTTCCCCTCCCATCCGGACCACAAAGTCCAGAAACGGTTTCCGGGTGAAACAAAATTCACGGTGTCCTTTTCCTAAATCCAAGCTGACAATTTTGCCAACTCTGAACAACTTCACCAACTCCAGCAGCCTTTCGCCCCTTGTGGGAGTTGGAGAAACTTTCCGGGTTTTGCGCACAGAGCATTTTCAACATCCAAAACTCCCATTTTTTTCTCTCTCAAGTTCCTTACACACACACACACACACACACACACACACACCCTTTCCCCCTTGTTATTAAGATTGTTGGCTGGACTTTATTTTATTTTATTTCTCAGGATTTGTCAAACAAAAACGAGAATCGGAGAAATAAAAATACAACGACGAGGACGACAGGCACGGCCCCTCTACTAGCCCCTTAAGTACGAAGTAAGGTCCACGGAAGTCCATGTGGGACTGAAATTGGGAAAAATCTGTAGTTGAAACAACCAGGTAGGGAATTCCAGATTTTGACAACTCTCTTACAGAAACCGTATTTTTTACTTTAGAGTTTAGGACGAAGTTTAGACTTTACAACGTTGTGGGTTTGTGTGTGTGTGTGTGTGTGTGTGGAGGACAGTAAAGGCAGTCTGTCGCCCCCCCAGAGCAGCCCCTGGCAGTTTTTCACCCCCTCCTCCTTGAAAAACCTGGCTTGTGTGACCTTGATAACAGAGAATCGGAAGGGACCTTCTAGGTCATCTAGTCCAACCCCCGCTCCCACCGCCTCATTTCTCAGCAGAGCCCTTCGCTCCGGCCACCAACTTCCCCCGGCGATTCCCCGAGGGAACTCCCCGCCACAAGGGACCCCTTCGCCTACCCAGCTGCTCGTAATCCTCCGCCATGTCTCCGGCGCCGCACCAGAGGGTCCCCGGGTAGGTGAAGCCTCGCTTGGCCCGACGACGACCCCCGGCCCAGCCCGCATCCCGCGGCCGCTCCGAGGCGCCCCGGCCGCGCAGCAGCTCCAAAGCCGCCGGGCCGGTTTCCGCGCAGAGCCGCCCGTCGCTGCCCGGGCTGTCCAGCGAGCAAGGAGGCAGGCCGGCTCCGGACACCGCCAGTAGCGCCGCCGCCGCCGCCGCCAGCACCACCAAGCCCATGGTGCGCGGCGCCTACTGCTGCTCCCCTCCTGCCGGCCGCCGGACGACCCTCCTTCAGCACCACCGCGCAGAGACAGCGACCGCGGCCCCAGCCGCCTTTTGAGGCCCGCCGGGCGGTGGCCTGATTCCAGGGGGGCGGGGGGAGGAGCCCCTGCCGCCCCCTCCCCCCTCCCTTGGGGGTGGGGGCTGTCCCAGCTCTGGGGGCTTGATGGGCGGCCTTGGTGACGGCAGGGAACTTTCCCAAAGGCAGAACAGCCGGAGGAAGACTTTCCAGGAAAAGCCGGCTCAGGGGGAGCCTCCAGGTCCAGCTGCAGTCTACCTGCAACTGCCAGCCAAGCAACCCACGAATCCGCTCAATGCATTCCCATCGTTTCAGGGCTCTTTGCGGGCTCCCGAAGGGGCAGAGCTTCCCTCCCACCGACCTGCCTGGCTTTGGAGAGGTGGGTGCCCACCGACCCCCCTTTCAGGGCACTCCGGGCCCATGTGGCTGCCGGCCAGTCCGAAAGATGTCACAGTGTTTGATCAAACCAGCGTCATCTTTCATTGGGGGTGGGGAAGTTTGGCAACGCCTGGACTTGGATCCGGCAAGGTCAGGAGTTGGCAAGGTCCAGATCTGCCAAGGACCGACAGATCTTTTAAGTCTCGCGACTCTTCTTCCGACCTCCCGGCCTTCCTTGTAACCAGCCTTGGCACCATCGTATCTTCGGCTTTGGCGTTTCCAGCCATTTACACACTTCTAAATGACGGGCATAAGTTTGAAAGCTGTTGGAAACCTGTTGAACACTTTGGAAAACTTTCAAACGCTTGTTGAACACTTTTAAAACAACCCCTATCAGTTTGAAAGCTGGTAAAAACTTTCTGAAAACTTTTTGAGAAC